GGCACAGATCTCTTTCTTGACCTAATTCTGAATGGGAGCAGCAGGGGCTTGCTTTAGCACATAAGATTGTTAGCACTACTGGAATTGGACATTTTTGAAAATTATGCCGTGATTTTCAGACATGCCCCCTTCTCTTACACAGGGAATCTTACACTTTGATGAACTCTAAGATTTTTTTGTTTCATTCTTATATATTGTTAGAATAAAGAATTAATGGTTTATCTCACTAGAATTAACTCAGATAATAGGTTTTTAAAAAATAAGCATCTGGAAAAAATTAGACATTTTGACAACCACGGCTCTTAGGTATGAAGGCCATAAAATACAGTGAGGAGTAATAATTACCTGAGCTGGTTCTAAGTGTACTACCAGTTTCTTAGGGCTTATTTTCTACTGCTTGCCTCCTAATATAATATGCAGAGGCCAATAGTAACTACAAGTAACTGAAACCCCTGGCTCAGTTGTTTGAGCCATAGGGGAGTATATTGTCTCACATAACAGGAAGTTCAAACATCCTGGCCATGTGCATGCAGCATACTGAGGGCTCAAGTCCTCTCCTCTGATTCTCTTGCCAGTGCCCTCTTCTCTGTGTCTTTTTCCTCAGGCTTTCTCCTCCCAGGATTATCAAGGTGGCAGCAGCATTTCTTACAGTCATATAAATAATGCTCCGAGGCGGAGGAAGGGCCTTCTCTCCCCTGTGGCCCCTTTCAGAGGGAGGAATCTTTTCCCAGAAGCTTACAACAGACTTTTTGCATGTCTTCTTAGCATGGGGAGAGGGACTACCATGATTCTCTAGACCAGCTTCCATCGACACACATGTGGAAGAGAGCAAAGCTGAATAAAATTTGGGTTCTGTTAAAAAGGAGAAAGGATGGAGGATGTACATGCTCTGAATGTAACCTGATCCTGCCTAGACTTGAACTAGCAAAGGCCTACCCTTCATATCTTTTGTATGTGTGGTTTTAATTTAAAGCAGATGCTAGCTTGTATCTTTTTTTTTTTAGCTTGTATCTTTATAGAAATATTTCTTCTCTCATAGATGTCCTTTATCTCTTTTAAGAAAACAAACAAGTGATATAATTTATTATAAAGGTAACTAGGGTAGGCAACATTGGATTATTTAAAAACGAATTCTTGTTTATCTTCATCATATAGATAATATAAACCAATAAATAGTCTCTTTGGAATGTATTTGTACTTACTTGAATAGGGGATATAGTATTTTCTAGCCCGTCTGACACTTAAGATAAACAAACATACTACTAGGGAGGAATTACTTGCAGTCTGCTCTAAGTCAGTCTGTTTTTGTTATTTCTTTTTCCTCTTTCCTCCCTTTCCTCCTCCTCCTTGTCACTCCTCTCCTCTTTTTACATGCTGGCTATACAGTATTTGAAAAGCATCACTCTTATTACTAGTATGTTCCAAGTAGAGTTAGGTGGCTGCTGAATCATTCCTATATTTCATTCACTGTATTTGTTTTTCTACATTTAATGCTGTAAGGGAAGTTAGTAGGATATTAAAAAGACCGTCTGTTAGACTACAGGACATTTGGGAAGATGAACATAAGCAAGGGATTGTGGGTGTTAGCAGGTTGCTCTACATATCCTTTGCCACAATAATAGATGAAAATGACCAAACTGGAACTGTGTATACCTTTGCCAATGTTATTTAGGTTTCTTATTTCGTGCACAATTTTGTTTATGTCTTTCTCAAAGTTCAGAGGAAACCTTCTCTCCATCCTCTCACCATTTTTGAGGTTTAGAAAGGCATTCTTTCCCATTTTGTAAATATTGAGTCCCTAAATAATGGGCTGAGCACTATTGGCAGAAATTAAAGATCTCTTATTGCTCGTGATCTCAGCAGAGGATGGGAGCCACTCAGCTAGCGGCAGCACCCACCCTGTTCCCTGTGCAAGAATTTTAACAGGGAGGGTTCAGAGTAGCTGTGGTTCTCTCAAGGTCTTAAGGAAACATCTGGATCCAATAATTAGCATGAACCCGCTTGCTTGAAGTTCTTTGTATGAGTGTCTAGAGTTGTGTAACTGCTTCGTTTTGCTTGGTGTGGTACTCTGATAAAGGGCCAGTGTTTTCAGGAGCATAATGTTATAGGGTAGGAATGTTAGGTTAGTGCAGTGATGGCGAACCTTTTGAGCTCGGCGTGTCAGCATTTTGAAAAACCTTAACTTAACTCTGGTGCCGTGTCACATATAGAAATTTTTTGATATTTGCAACCATAGTAAAACAAAGACTTATATTTTTGATATTTATTTTATATATTAAAATGCCATTTAACAAAGAAAAATCAACCAAAAAAATGAGTTCGTGTGTCACCTCTGACACGCGTGTCATAGGTTCGCCATCACTGGGTTAGTGGTAGAGACAGCACCTTGGAATTTACTTTCCTTTTTAAAAACTAGAAAAAGAGTGGTTTCACATAACAAGCCTCCTTACCTAACCAGTGCTGATCCTCTATTGATGATGGTTTTCTGCTTGGTTGCATGTTAAATGATGCATGCTTTTTCTCATGGAGCTGTTACAATAATTAACACTTTTTATCAATCTAGATGGAGTATGCCAGCGTGGTAATTGTGTAAAAGCCACATGCTTCTCTAATGGGCTGGCTGTTCACAGCAATGTTCTTTTTGATTAAGGATAAGTAGAAAGGTCTTTAGTTACTATGTTATATAACTTACTAATGATGGATTTTAGGTACTTATAATTAAAGCTTTTGGAATGAGCATTGTTAGAGTTTGGAAAACTATAGTTCTGGTTTTGTCTATGCCCATCTAGCTTTGTGATCTCAGGCAAATCTTCTAGTCTTTCTGAACCTCAGTTTCCTTGTTGATAAGATAAAGTGAGGGTATTAAGGGTATTAGAGTAGATCATTTTGCAACACTCACACAGTAAATATTTATCAGGTGCCTCTTATATGCCAGTCTAGATGCTGGGGACACAGCAGTAAAAAAGAAGAAAGACCCCAGCCCTCTGGGGCTTTCATTTTAGTGGGAGGGGTTGCGTTCCACTGCAGGAGTTAGTGGGTGATGGAGTTTAAAGGCTTATCCATCTTTGAAACTCAGAGAGTTACAAGCATGATAATTATGGTGAATGGATGTGCTATAATCATGTTTTCTTGATGGTGGTAATTTGTTCAAGAAACCATCTTATCAACAAAGAAGGTAGTATTTATGTTTTAGCTGTGTTAATTTTTTGAAACTATTTTAAGAATGTACTTATTTACATATAATTACATCCATCCTTATTGTTGAGTATTTACAATCCAATTAGCCATTTCCATTGTTGTTGTTTTTTTATCTTGTAACTTCCACTTAGATGGGCAATACTGATCAGCTCTGGGGTTCATTCTATTTTTTATTATTACATTTATTGAGGTAACATTGGTTGATAACATTATATAAATTTCAGGTATACAACTTTGCAATTCAGTATCTGTTTACTCTATTGTGTGCTCATTTTTTTAAATTGTTGGGTTCTTGATATACAGTGGGGCCTTGACTTCCGAGTGTCCCGACTAACGAGTTTTTTGAGATACCAGCTGTCTCTCAGCCGATTTTTTGCATTGAGTTGATAGAGTAATTTGAGTTAACGAGCTCGGTCTCAGAATGAATTAAACTCGTAAGTCAAGGCCCCACTGTATTCTGGATACTAGACTCTTATCAATGCTTGGCACAAGATGGCAAATAATATTTTAAAAAGCAATTATAATGCTCATACATGCTATAACCTGAATGATTTTTGAAAATGTGCTTAGTGAAAATGACACGTGTTGTATAATTTCATTTATTTTAAATGTACACAGTAGGCAAATCCATTCAGGCTGAAAGTAGATTAGTGATTGGTAGGGATGGTAGAGGGGGGTAGAATGGAGAGTTACTATGAATGGATACAGGATTTCTTTTTGAGCTGATGAAAATATTATAGAATTAGATAGTGGTAATGGTTGTACAACCTTATGAATATACTCAAAACCATTAATTGTATAATTGAATAGGGCGAATTTTATGGTCTGTGAATGATATTTCAATAAAGCTTTAAAAAGTGTATTTTATTTTTATATCTCTTGAAGATAGCTGGGAAATTTCCCATTGCCCCAGGTGCCAGGCCTTTGGACATTTTAATCAGCGGTGAGAGAGGAGAGAACATTCTGTCTCTGCCATTCCTGCCTGTTGGTTTTTGTCAGTGGTGCTGCTATGCTTTAAAAGTCCCTCTTTGCTTGTGTAGACAACCAGCTGCTTTCAGATTTAGTTTCAATTTTGTTTTCTTTAGTTGTTACTGGATTAATTATTAGATGCTTTTTTTTTCATGTCTTCATTTGGTTCTGATTAGGGGTCTGTAGATATTTTCTTGTAAACATATACACAAAACTATGTTTGTGGTTGGGTGGGGTGGAGTTTTGGAGTTTTGGTTATAGTTTGAGTACCTTTCCCAGAAGACTGTCTTTTGCATCGGAAAAGTGATGGTGAATTATGGGATTTAATATTGGAACAAAAAAGTATGCACATTACAGATATAATTTTCTTGCTATTAAGCACTCAGTATTTAACAGTATTTTTAATACCTAACATTTAATTATAATGTGTGAAATTTCAGTGAAATGTGTCTCAGTACTTTCAAATATCAATAATACTTTGTATTATAGAGTAAGGGATACTTAAAAATTGGATTTTGGGGTGAATTATTATTTATAGCTAGATGAAACTGAAGAAAATTAATTACACTCGAGCTCTTGATGATTTTAAGTTCTGTCTGTACAGAATCAGAATTAATTCCATTGTGATGCTTGTTTTGGTTCTTTGATTCTGTTAGAGAATTCTCAAAGTTAGAGTAGCAGTCTCCATTTTTCTCTTATGAACCTTCTTTCTCTATGGGGTTTTTTATCCCCATATTTTTGCCATTCCCCTTCCCATCCTTTTTTATCCTGTCTCTTGCCTCTAAACTAGGAGAGGTTGTAAAAGACCTTTTTGTGATTTTTTTTGTTTATAGCATAAGCTGTGACCATGACTACTGAAGTTGCCTCCGCGTCTGAAGTGAAGAAGGAATCTGACCAGTTAGGAGCAGATGCAACCAAGGAGAAACCTAAAGAAGTAGCAGAAAATCAGCAGAATCAGTCATCTGATCTAGAGGAGGAAAAAGATTCCCAATCATCTCCTTCAGCTAAAAGCCAAAGTGGTACACAGCGCCAGAAGAGGCAGAAGGATCCATCTGAGAGTAGGGGCATTTCTCGATTCATACCCCCGTGGCTTAAGAAACAAAAGTCCTATAACTTAGTAGTGGCCAAAGATGGAGGAGATAAGAAAGAGCCTGCCCAAGCTGTTGTGGAAGAGCAGGTTTTAGATAAAGAGGAATCTCTTCCTGAAGAAGAAAGGCAGGCCAAGGGTGATGCTGAGGAAGCAGTTCAGAGAAAACAACAGGTCATTAAAGTTGATATCGAGGAAGAGAAACCTTCAGTGAGCAGTCCTGAGACACAGGTATGTTTGAGAAGCGATGGTGTGGAATGATAGCTTGATGGTATAGCCACATAACAAAAAGGGTTTGTTTGCTTTGAATCATTTATGGATCTCTTGCATTAAGATGCTGGTTTGACTTACTATATCTGGAATATGAGTCTTGGAGTGGTTTACCACAGCCTTCTCCTATTATTCCTTTTCAAAATTTCCAAAATAACAAAGAGAAAAAAAATACTATATATGCACACCATAAAAAAGTTTCTGTTTCTCTTAAGGTTCAACATGCTCTGAGAATCCTGTCACCTCTCCTTTTAAATAATATGTACTGTTATACCTCCTTGATTTGATTTATTTAAGTGTCCAGTGAGTAGGAAGAAATAGATTTCTATGTGTATGCATTTTGGTTGTGTAATGAAGCCTAGGTTTTGCCATGGTGTGAGATTATAATTGGAAATTCTATTATTAAAATATTTAAACTGCAGTTGCCAGGATGTAGTTTATTTTACTCATTTAATGCTCAAATGGTCAAATTGGCAAAAATTGGCAGTGGATCGGGGGAAGGAGGATGTGGAGAAGTATTTTTTTCTAGCAAACATTTGAAGTCTTTTTAAATCTTATACAGTACTTGTAACAATCACCATTCTTACTAGGATTTTCCTTTTAATGTGTTGTTTTCTGCAAATTGGTCAACTTTAGTATAAACTTCATTTTTTTTCATCGTCAGCCTGCTGAAGAAGTAAGGAAGGAGGAGAGAGAGGAGGAGAAGGTAAAGGAAATACAGGAAGACAAATCAGAGGAAGCAGCAAAAAGGGAGACAAAGGAAGTGCAGACCAATGAGCTAAACGCAGAAAAGGCCGTTCAAAAAGCCACCAAGAAGACCAAAAGTGTCCAGTGTAAAGTGACCCTCCTGGATGGCACCGAGTACAGCTGTGACCTAGAGGTGAGTCAGGGCACTGACAGGAGAGCTCTCCTGATGTGTGGAATGCAAGCAGAAGTGCATTCTGCCCTCATTTGTGGCATGGCACAATTTTTGTGTTCTTGTGAATTAGATGGTCACAATTTTGCATTACAAAAAACAAGAAAATATAGAAGAGGGTCATCATTTCTGTTACAAACAATAATTCCAGACCCTTAAGGATACATAGGGCTGTTGATTTCCCGGTCTGCCCTGGTCATGTATAGGGTGTCCCAAAATTCATGCAAGAAGTAATTTTGATAGAAAACACAGGTTTATAATTAAAAATTGTAAATTTTTTATTGATTCATAAAGTATACAGTATAGGGTTATGTATGGAATAGCACATAGGGTAAATGGCCTCCACGGCTTTGCTGGCACATACGCAAAGCCGTGGTCTTCATTGGTCTTCATTGTCCCTGCTCCTGGGCCATAATTGGTACTTGGTAATGCTTATCAAATTGAAGGGATTGAAATCAAATGGCAACAGATATTAGAATCTGATTCAATAAACCAAGTAAAATTAGGCTTTTATTTATTTTTTGTTGTTGTTGTTAATGCTCACGCAAAATTCAAATCTTGCGTGAATTTTGGGACACCCTATATATTGTCTGGTGACTGTTCTGAATGGGCCTTAAATAGTTTGAATATTACCTCTGTAGAAATGATAGCACTAGGTTGACATTTTAGAGTCATGAAATTTCAGCACTTTAACCCCAAGTGTTTTTATCCTGAGACAGATACTGATTTAACACCTAGCTCCTTTATATAGTTTTAATTAAAAAACACTCATGGCTTTCAAAGCATGTAATTCATTAGCTCTGATGCTTATTGACATCAATGTAATTTTTAAGAAGTATCTAGCACCTTATAATTTTATGTTAATCAAATGAGTTTTTGCTTTTCATAGCTAAATCACTTTATTTACATGACATATACTAATAACTGATGTTTATTGAAGAACTGTGTGAAGAGCTTTGAATAGATTATCTCATAATATTTATAAGAATCTATCTGAGGTAGGTATTATTATGGATATTGCCAATGTTAAAGTGGGAGAATATAGGCTTATAGAGGTTAAGTAATTTGCCAAAAGTTTCATAGCTAGCCAGTGGTGGGGCCTGGATTCTAGCCCCAGCAGTTTGATTCTGGAGGTCATGAACCTGGCCACTGAACTACTAAGATGAATGACTCATGGTTCTTGCTTTTATCTTTGTATTAGTTTTCTAGAACTTTGTTTTTAACTCATTTAGTCATAATTATTCTATTTCAGTTGTTTCAAGAAAAGGAGTTGCATAAAGAATTAATAATCCTTAAATCTCAGAGAGAAGGAGAAGAAGAGGAGAGAGAGAATGATGTTGTATGCCTCAGCAGTAGAAGTAGGGGATAATAAGGAAAACAATAGAATGGTGTTCTAAATTTAACTCTAATACGTGACCACATGTCTCTTGTTTTTTCCTACGTATCCTAGAAGTTAGGGAGTCTAGATTTTGGGAACCAACTTAATAACTTGTTATGTGACCTTCAGTCATTTACTCCACCTCTCTGTGCCAAACTGAGGCCAGAGATTGACTTCATCTATTGAATATAGAATTACTTAGATAATCCAGAAGACCCCTGTCATCTCTGAAGTTCTTTCTAATCACCAAAACTCAAGACTTATGGTTTAAATCTATTTTTTTTAAAATCATGATATATTTAAAAGTATAAAAATATAGAAATAATAGAAGAGACAGTTGCATATTAACCAGAAATAAAACATTGAAGACATTGCTAAAGTCCCATTCCCATATCTCCTCTCGTTCTCCCTGTGTCTTTTCATGATGTGTAAATCTACTTTATTCTTTTAACTGATGTATAGTATTCCTTTGAATCACCAAACCAGTTTATCCATTTCTCTGCTGAGGCATAATATCTTTATATTGTATAACCAATGTTTTAGTAAACATTATCTTACACGCTTCCTTGTTTATTGTGCAAGAGTTTCTTCAGGGTAGGCACCTAGCAATGGAATTGCTAGGTTGATAAGTTTTATTTCTTCAGTTTTTCCATATATTGCCAAACTGATCTCCAAAGGGGTTGTGCCGATTCAAATTCCAGTCAGCAACACTGCTGTTTTTTCCACATTGTCATTAGTACTTCATGTATCAGACATTAATTTTGACCAATCATATAGGTGTAAAATATGGTCTCAATATTTCAATTTGCATTTATTTTATTACTGTCAACTTTCACTAGGTTATGCTGCAGGAACAACCTCCAAATCTTCTGGACTTATAGTAACAATATCTTATTCCTTGCTCATGTTACATGGCCTTGGTGGGTTGGCTTTGGCTCTGCTCTGTGCCTTCTCTGCTTTTGGACCAAGATTCAAGTTGCACCCTTTACCTTAGACATACTGCTCTCACAATAGAGGGAAAAGAAAATCACAGCAGAACCACGTTAAATCTTTTGCTTGGAAGTGGTATAGATCACTTTCACTTAGATCTCATTGGCCAAGCAAGTCACATGGGTTAAGGCTGATAACAATAGGTAGGCAAGTATGTACTCTTGGATCTCCCCGCTTTTATCATTACATAATATATTTAAAATAAATAAAATAAAATAAAATAAAAAGATGCTCGGCTTCATGAGTTGCAAATTATAGTATTGTTTCTATTTTTTTTCAATTTACTGCCCTCCCCTGAAGGCCTGGTTGCCCCCAACTGTCCTCCCCTGCAGGCCTGGTTGCCCCCAATTGCCCTCCACTGCAGGCCCAGTCACCCCTAACTGCACTCCCCTGCAGGCCTGATCGCCCCCAACTGCCCTCCCTTTCAGGCCTAGTCCCTCTCAACTGCCCTCCCCTGCTGGCCTGATGGCCCACAACTGCCCTCCCCTGCTGGCCATCTTGTGGTGGCCATCTTGTGTGTTGGAGTGATGGTCATTTTGCATATTACCACTTTAATAGATAGGATTATGCCCAACTTCTTCTTTCCCCATCTTAACACTCCTTTGTTTGATGTGTGATCTCATTTTGGAATGGTACAAAATAAAACAATTTCTTATCTGTGTGACTAGTCCCTGTTTGATCCTATCATTCATGGGAAATGAAGTCATTGTGTTAGTGAAAGCACAGTTGAGAAAGTATCCAACGTTAAGAGCAGCAGTGTACTCCTTCAATTCAACATAACTTGAATTGGTTGGGAAAGCACAGGAGTCTTTGTTTTAATGACAGTATTAATTTACAGATAGATTATCTTTTCAGCTAATAAGTGTTTACTTAATATACCATTTGAGAATGAATTTCTGAGGACAGTAGATAAATTTGAAGTGTGTTGAATAAACCTTTTTTTCTACCCAGACAAATCAAAGTGGAATTTGAGTAGACTGTAGCAATGTGATCCACAAATTTTATGTAGCAACAGTTCACTGGAATTCTAGGCAGTGACTTTATATCTGATCAACAGCCATAATTCAGCTGGGGAATAATAGTTGTTATAACAACACAGACGTTATAAGTTGTGCTCCCTGTTTTGATTAATTTCTCTCTTAACCAATTCTTCCCATTTAGGTTCTCTGATTGCTTGTTTAGTGTCATTAGTATGGGTCTGATACTCATCAGACTTGCTATTTCCTCTTCAGGAGCAGAGCCCCAAAGACAGCCGTCACGTGGTTTGAGCGCTCTCATGTTTCCCAGTTCCAGTGCTGACCTGAGACAGATTGGGTGATATGCTGATGCTGCTTATCTGTGGTTCTCTAACTCTGTACCGGAAACTGGCGTCTGAGGACTATTTGGGGAAGTGTGTTGTGGGAAATTGTAGCTATTAATGAACTTGCAAGCACTCAAGGAAAATGAATACAATGTGGGAAATAGATACTTTTACCTTATTTGCTTTGAGAGATTAAATTTGTTTATATCTGTTTACTGTCATTAAAAGTTATGACTATCATGGCTTTTGGATGCCTATAGTTACTGTTTATTTTTCTTTCTGTATGTTCATGTGTCTAATTTTCAATTAGACCTGTAGATTATAGCATGTCTCTGAAGAGGGCCTGATTGTCTTCATCATTTCGGGCCACCTACAACAGTAGAGGAAAGCATGGCCTGTGCAGGAAGTCTCGAGGAATTGAAATGGCCTGATTGGTAGGGACCTTAAAGAGTAGGATGAGGTTCCAGAGAGCCTCAAATGCCCGGGCGAGATTATGAAAGCTGATCCATAGAGCAAAAGGGAGCTGGGAGAAATGGACCAGAAGTTGTAAAGACATTGCTATACAAGACCAGGGACAAGAATGCTGTTTAGTTTTTAGAACGTGGTAGATCGTTATGTGGCTACAGTAATTTAAGAGGGACATTTTTATTCATTGCACTGGTTAAGTTGTGTGTCAGTGGTCTTTATAGATATGATTTTATCAGTGTGATTAGAGCATTGGGAAAGTTAGGCGGTTTCCTATTGTTACCTGTCAGTACCTTTGATTAACAAAATGATCTCTTTTAAGCCATATGATATAAATATTACTGTATTAATTTAATATTTTTTCTAAATCAAGAAACATAATTCTTGGAGATTTATTTTTGTTTGGTATCCTAACATTATCTCTGATTCTCAGATTGCTTCCTTAAAATAGGTACATGGATAGATAAATAAATCTCCATATGTCCATCTATATCCCTTCTTCATTCCTCCACTCTCTACTTTTAGTGGCTTTTTATAAATTCTTTCTCCTGCGGGCCATCTGAGCCTATTCTTTCTCAAATCTCAGAAATTAAATGAAAGGGACTTCTCAGGGAGCCAAGGCAGCACCATTTTTAAATATTAATTATTTAAAGTTTTTGTTCTTTGGAGGAGAGTATATATTAATATTAAGTGGGTAGCCTCATCAGTGTGGCTCAATGGCTGAACATTGACCCATGAACCAGGAGGTCATGGTACGATTCCCGGTCATGGCACATGCCTGGGTTGGGGGCTCAATCTTTAGCAGGGGGCATGCAGGAGGCAGCTGATCAA